TAATCTTTGTTTCTTCATGTCAGTAGTGTCCATGAGGGTGATCACATGGCAGAAATACTCTCTAGGGATTAGGGGGATGGGGGGGCAAAGCTACAACTAAAGGACATGGGGAGCACTAAAGGGAGGGAAGGGCATGCCTTTAACCCGCATTTGGGTGAGGTAAAGACACAAAGTGTAACTATAATGTTTGTACCCTCACAAAACCCTGGAATAATAAGAAAAAAAAAAAAAAGAGCAAATGACTGTAACAAGGTAGACGGAAGAAAGTCAGAAACTGTTGGAAAAAGCCACTGGGTGGGAGCATGCTAGCTGTGTGCCCAGGAGGGGTCTCTGGTGAGTTCTCCACCTCTACTGTGGCTGATTGTGGGGGCTTCTCATGTTATTTCAGCCAGAACCCCTAACCCCCCCTCCTTCCTTTCTTGTGCATCCTGACAGAGGGAACGGCTGAGGAACATCGAGCGCATCTGCTTCCTTCTGCGAAAGGTCAGTGTGGTGGCCTCATGGCAGAGAATGGAGGCTCACGTGGCGGTTGGTGGGCACACAGGAGAAGAGGCTGGTGGTGCCCAGTGTGGGCAAATGGTGGCAGGGAGGGGGAGGTGGGAGCAAGCCATCAGTTCTTTGGAAACTTTCAGAGACAAGAGGAGCTAATTAAAAGGGGTGGCCATCAATCAAAGTGTCAGCACGACACCGAAGGGCTCTCTGGTTGGAGTTAGAGGTTCTTTGTCTTCGCCCGATGATGGATGGCATCTCCGGCTGCTGTCGCCTCCTAGCCTTTGTTCCTGTCTGGTGCTGGGCTCGGAACGCTCCCTACTGACCTTGGGAAGTTTTTAACTGGATGCTGGGTTTCCTTTGAGCTTTCAACCTGTCACTCAGCTTTGCAATTCGATTGGCAAGATCATTGGGAGTGTTGGAAGGGTGGGAATAGGAGATGTTATGAAAGGGGGAGCCACGCCACTCAGAGGGTTGCTCTGAATGGATGGGCAGTTGGTCACGGCTTCCCCAAGCTCATTCAGGACGCACAGGCGTGCACATGCGGCTCCGGCCTGGTATTTAGTACAGCTGGGCGACATAGCTGGGGGCTCCCGTGGCAGACAGACTGATCTGTCTCTAGTCAAGAAAGTGCATGTTTTTTTGCAGCAAGATGTAGAGAACAGCAACTTGCAGGCAAAATAAGGGATGCCCCTAGCCTTGAGCCACAGGACACGCCTATCCTACGTACAGAGTGGATGGACTGCAGGCCACTCACTGGAAAGCTACCTGTCAGTCCAAAAGGCATTTTTAATCCTTACTGTGAATAGGACAGAAATCAAATGCTATGCCAACAGTGATACAAAGGGAAAACATTTTGCAAGCTTCTGAAGTTTTTTTCTGTATTTCAATAATGATACCTTCCACTGGGAGAGAGTTTAACCAAGAAGCTAGTTATTTTTCTAGTTAATTATTGTCTTCTAAGAAACTCAGTATGTTAGAATTCCATATCTTGTATGACACGGCAGGGAAGTATGCTCAGGTGAGATATTTATATGAAAATATTAGTGATCCCAGGAATAAAAAATGATCTAAAAATGTACCTATAATATGAATTCATGAATTTGTAAATTATTTTCCCAGATAATATCTTAGATACCCATAACCTGCTCAAACCAGCACTTCTATTAAAGTTTCTGGTTTGTCCTTTAAGACTGACACATAAGTGGCATAGAATGGATCAGGACAAAACCAGTTTGTCTTTCAAATGCCGAAAGGGTTTTTTCCACCATCCTGCATGTACCATCCTGTGTTGTCTGGCAGAGCGATGTTCTGTATCCAATGCATTTTAGCCTTGCTCGTCCTTATACTGTCTGACCATGGGCTCTGGCCAGACAGCAGGCAGTGGTGAAGGTCCTGCAGCCACCTCCTTATGACCCTAGGCCTTTCAAAGGTCAGAGCAAGGGTATGAAGGTAAGCATGCTATGCAAGCATTAGCATTACTGCTTGCAAATTTGCATATAGTTAACATAACTTTCTATAGACAGTAGACTGAGGCATTTTACTCCAGGAAACATTGTATTCCTGGTACCCTTTCTGCTTTTTGCCCTTTTATTTACCCATACTCCTCCCCACCACCCGCCACTGCCTCTGTGGCTTCTGGCAAGTTCCATGCAATTGCTGCTCATTGTCGAGGAAAATTCCAGGGAGAAAAGACAGACATCAGAGGACCTGAAACCTGGACTTCAAGACTTTAGGTGTTGTAACTGCGTGTGATCACACCTTCTACAGCTTCACAGTTTTCTAGCTCCCGTGGGGAGCTGACGGGGCAGCCTGCACCCCTTCACTAACAAGCCCTGTGTCTGCAGCTTTATTTCTTTGTGGAATCTTCCTTCTACTCCATTCCTCTTGCCATAAGCAAGTCTACTTTTAACATTTGCCTGTTAGTTTTTCTGTATTCCCTGAATACCTGAGATCATTTTCGGCAATGTCAACATGATTTCTTTCCAAATGTGATTTCAAATTGTAGGTGCTTCTGACTGGCCCTTGAGGTCTTGCTGTGGCTCACGTGTTCTTTAGCTTAATTTAGAAACCCTCTGTATTCTCACAGAGTCATTCAGGTACTGGGCATGCAGGCCTGTCTCCTCTCACTAGAAGGCCAATTCCAGGAGATCTTTGACTTTGTTCTGTTCACTGTCGTGACTGGAGACATAGAATGCAGAACAGTGTATAGCCCGTTGAAGGTGTCGAGTAAATATTTATTAAGTAAGTGAATGAATGAGTGCTGATTTTTTGGCACTTCTGTAATCAAAATCATTCTTGTTGGTAACACTGGGATAGGCAATAATCTTTGTTTCTTCATGTCAGTAGTGTCCATGACATAGCACAAAATTTGCATATTTTACTACATTTACTACTTATTTAAGATTTGTATTTTAAAGTCAAATTTAACTCTATATGGTATTCATTATTCACACGGAAGATCTCTAACCTACAGTTTTTCCCGTCCCATCTTTTCCTTCATGCTTATGCCCTCTGTCCTCTTGGGGTCTGTATCTTAACCTCCCTAGCACCGGCTCTCAGTCAATTCTGGGCCCTTCAGAATCAGAAGGTGGTGAAGTGTGCAAACTTGTGCTGCTTCCAGATCCCGCCTCTGTCCTTACTGTCATCTGTGTAACCCACGGTGTGTACCTCAGTGTGGCCGTAAAGTAGGGGTAATAATAAAAAGTATCGCACTTACAGAGTTATTGTGAAAATTAAATGAGATAATGTGTGTGGATCTGGCACATAAGTGCTCAATGCATGTTAAAGGTTATTATTATCCCTTAACTCTTACCTAAAACCCGTTAGAACATCCCTAAGCAAACACCTGGTGATGAGTCAGGCCGAGATAATCCTTGGCTGGTGGCAACTCCCCTTAGTGTCCCCTCCCGTTTTCTTAGGTGAGTGTCATTTGAGATTTGAGCAGTGTCACTCTTAGGTGAGTGTCATTTGAGATTTGAGCAGTGTCACAAGGTGGGCCAGCCTGGGCCTCTCCCCCTCTCCCCAACCCCCGGGGTTCTCTCACTTTGACTGGGCTTCTGAGTTCCGATTCCCAAGCCGTGAGCATGTGTTGGGTTTGTGGGGAGGTTAACAGGTCTAGTTAGTGTCACCACCTTCTGGGAACTGTACCTTCCAAGAAATTTCTTGGAACTGGCCTCCTAAACAGCCCAGAATGTGATGCATCTCAGCAGCTGATTGTTGTTAAACCACCTCCTCAGCTTTCTCAGGAGAAAGGAAGGGATTTTCAAAGTGGATCCATTTTTAGCTCAGTAATTATCAGAAAATGTGTTCTTTGGGTAATTGTCTGAATTGCAGGATGCTTGTGTTGACTTGTGCTCGTGATTCATGTTTTTGTGGCAAGAGCCACTTGCTTCCCCATGTGGCTCTCCCCACCGGAGCATGTCGTGGGCCCCATGGGGACACTATAAAGTACAGGTGTGGAGTGGGAAGCATGGCGGATGGCAGAGGTTGGTTTGATGGCCACTTGCAGGCACAGAAAGGGTTCTTGCGGGGAGGAGGCTGACGCCCATTGCATCTGCAAGTGTAGTGAGTGGTTTGAGGAAATGAGCATAAGTACGAGCCCAAGAGGTTGACACGAAAATAAAGAGAAACTTGCTCCATCAGCAGTGATTGTCACAGCTGGGGATTGGTTGTCCTGGGGGGGCTATGAAATGCTCACATTCCTTAGACCAAGTTAGACAAGCATTTGTCTGGGTAATTAGAGTTAGACTGAGCCTGCCCGAGGATGGGTGGAGACTTAGTTGCATAGTTTGGGATTCCCCTCTGGCTTGCCTATTCTGTGATTCTCCAGTGCATGTCCTGATGTCCCCAAGAGAATGTCCAGCCCCACCGAAGGCTTTTTGACATTTGTGGATATAGAAAGTTATGTGGATGGATAATTTTCCTTCTCCCATTGAGCATGCTCATTAGGACGTGGAGGAAGAGAGTGCTTATGGGGTTGGGAGTGGGTGGGGGTATTGAGTTCATTGGGGGGGCAGATGTTCCAGGTTTAATACTGGAAAGAATGCAGGGGTCATAAGACCACACCGGGTGGTCCCACTAATGGCTACCTATTATGCCTCTCCCTCTTTGAAGCTTCTCGGAGCCACACCTCTGTCTTAGGGAGGAGTCATGGTGTGGAGTGAAGCTGTGAGTAGCAGCTTGAATCCTTCGCAGAAATTCCTGATGTGGTTCTGAAAGCAGGGGTTGGAGGAGATGGAGAATGGATGTGACACTTTCAGTGAAAAGTCAGTTTTGTTAAACGAGAAGATCACATTATTATTCCCAATTCTTCACCTTCCTCTGTGTCCAGGACCAGCTACATAATTTGGAAGGCCCAGTGAAAAATGACAACATAAGGCTCCGTGTTAGAAACTGACAGCAGAGCGTTTAACCGAAGGTGGGGCCCTTCTCAGCCCAGGGCCCCGTGCAACTGCAGAGGTCACAGGCCCCTGAAGCCTGCTCTGCCTGGCATCCGTGCCCTTTGCAAGATGATTTTGCAGTTCCTCCTGCTAGAAGCAGAGTATTTCCCTTCCCCACTGAGGCTGGGCTCTGCCATGTGACGGGATTTGCCCACTGGAATGTGGGCAGGCGTATGAGTGCGGGAGGAGGCTGTAAGAGTCGTTGGGTGTTTCTGCTCTCCCTCCTGAAATTCTCCCACTGGAAAGGCTTACCCAGTGGTGCAGGGAGGACGAGAGGCATGGGGAGCCCACCTGAGCCCACCTGCAGCTCAGAGCCAGCCTGCTAGATCTGGTGACTGCCAGCCATCCTTAGATGCATGAGCACGTATAAATGATTGTTGTTTTATGGTACTGAATTTTGGAGTGATTTGTTGTGTAACATCATTATGGCCATAGCTAACTGATACCATAATCATGTGCCACTTTTATAAGGGGGAAGAAATCTTTCTTCTTAAAACCGATGTTACTTTTTGCCAGAGTTCAGCCATTTTCTGACTCTACAAATTTACAAAG